ACTTTCTCCCACTAAGGCTCCAACTAGTTTTTCTACCTGCGGACAGAATGGTCCAGCCCACGTGCCAGAGGCAAACCTGTCAAAGGCACTTGATAAGGCAGCTGTTCCCTCCTGAACAGGACAAACTACTGTCCTTGTCACCTGGTCCTATCTCTCTCCACCCCGTAAAATTTAGGTCTTAGAAAGTGCAGTGGCCACAGATGACCTTGGCTAGTCCCAGGACACACCCACCACCTATAAAAGCTAGTGACTTCCAACAGTTGATCTCCTCGACTCTCAACAGCTAGGAACACTACAGGTTCCACAGAATCCTCGCTACCACCCCGTCTAGTCCTCTTTAAGTGGCACAGTCAGTCACCCCAGAGTCAAGCCCCAAAATGAAGGCACTCCAGAGCCAGCCTGTGATGCAAGGCTTTCTAACTCTGCCTTGTGCACAGCAGACACTGGTGTCTATAAAGCCTCTTTGCACCAGGACACAGCAAGGAAGCTGAGGCAGGAGGATCACGTGATCACAGGAGTTTGAGACCATGTAAATATTACAACAATACTGTGAAACCTTGTCTCAAAACAAAAATAAACTGGGCATCTAAACCTTTAATCCCAACACTTGGGAGGCATCTGAGTTCAAGGCCAGCCTGATCAACAGAGTGAGTTCCAGGATTTCCAGGCTTTTACACAGAGGAACCTTGTCTCCAAAAACAAACAAACAAAAAAACAAAAGTCAAGGATTTGGTCTGTAGCACAGCAGTGGAATGCTCTCTAGCATTCATGAAGCCCTGAGTTCAAATCCCCATCCCACCCCACACACCCCTGCTGTAGTTAAAACAATAGCTTCTCACTGCCATTAGGACAAAACTCTGAAAATTTCCCATATGGCCTAATCGAGGCCCCAAAGCAGCTTTGCAACGTTCTCCTTTTCCTCACTGGACTCAGTGTAACACTCTGCCCTCCACATAGGCGGGGAATGTCAACCCAGCTAACAGGAGCTAATTCAGGGCTCATTCACGTCATCTCTACTGGAGAAAATGGTAGTCTCCAATTCCTCTGTCAGGGCTCACTGTCTCCTGCCGCTGGCTGTAGCCCACTAAGACTGCTCTAAAAGTAACTGCTCTTTCCCTAGGAGATAGTTGGTTTAGAGAAACCACTGTTTTAAAGCTTCACTGAATTTCTGCCGAAGACTAGAGTCACTCTGAAGCAAATCTGTTTACATACCTTTGGCTTTTTGTTTTTTTGAGGCAGGGTTTCTCTGTGCAACAGCTCTGGCTGTCCTGGAACTCAGAGATCCACCTGCCTCTGCTGGGATTAAAGGAGTGTGCCACCATGCCTGGCTTCTTCTGGCTTTTTGTTTAAGTCTTGCTGTTTTCTCAGTGGCATGGGTATCTTGCCTCTTTGGCCTGTCCTGACTTGAAGGGGGGCAAGTGCTGGCCTACTTGCCCCAACATTCTCTGGTTTCTCTCTGGATCTGTGACATTCTTATCTTTCCTCTGGAGTTGCCTTGAGCCCCCCAGGAACAAAGAGGACCCACTGACAACCATCTTTGTGGTTGGGCCCCCAACTGCCCGAAAAGCGGGGTAGGTCTGCCTAAAGCCAGTGACTGTAGTGGGAGGCAGCTACCTGAAGCAGAAGGAACTCCTCTCTTTAGAACCAGACAACAACCTGACCAGATCTCTGTAATTCTACCCCCACCTCTTGCTTTCCTGACCCAGTTCTTCCAGTTTAACCTCAAACCTGGCTGGCAGGGGTGGGTGGAGCTCAGTGTGTGGTATCAGCACCTGGAAAATGGAGTTCACGGTCACAAGGAACACATTTCCCTGCCACTGTCTCTTTCATTGGTGTCCAAGAGGCTAGCGTGTTGGGACTGTCGGGCTTCTGCCCTAAGAACTTAAGTAACAGGGCTGCTGAGAGGCTGAAGGAAAAGGGAATCTGTTGCTAAGCCTGACAACCTGAGCTCAATCCTCAGAACCCACATGGTGGAAGGAGGGGACTTCCTCTGCCCTCCATGCCTGCACTTCACATACATGATCCTACACACATACAAAAAAAAAAAAAAAAAAAAAAAACCCTCCGGCAACAAAACTCAGAAGCCAGCTCTACTTGTAAGATTTTAAAGTCTCAGGATATCTAAGCTTGCTTTCTGCAAGGACATGTTTTCAATGACTAATTAATTAATTAATTAAAATAAACGGCAGGAAGAGAAAAATAAGATAAGCAGTAACAAACTAAAATAATATGGACCTCAATTGTGATGTTGCAACACACCCCACCTCCCCCAATAAAACAAAGCAACACAGTGTACTCGTTACACGATGCTCCAAATCTGCACTGTGCTAGGCTCTCCGCAGGGCTCTGGACAATGCACCCTTATTCAGACTATTCCCTGGTGAGTACGCCCGAATTTCAGTCCTGGAGGTGGAAGTAGCACGTTCAAACTCAAGCTGCCTACCACATTACTTAAAGACACAGCAGGTCTGGGCAAACAACAGAGATGGCAAATCTGTAATTTAAAACGTCTCCCAGTTAATTTTCATAATAAAGATGCAGAAATCATAGGTGTGGAGGTTTTTGTGGAATGCAAATTTTGCTGCTTAAAATGGCACAACCTGGACAACTAGATTAGTAAAACAGTTCTTTGGGATGAAAGAACAAACAGGACGTATTTAAAGAACCGAACAGTCCCCGGACTAGCAGTGTTCACTATGTGGCAGGACTTGTGGCTTGGCCCTTACCATCCACCACCTACACTATTGTATTCGGAAAGACAAAGAAACCAAGGCCACTATGTTGCCTTTACCCATTAGAAAATTAACTATTTCCACCTCTGAGTACTCCTGACCTTTCCAGACTGCGCTCCTGTAACTATTTAAGAACGCCACACACCTCCCTGGTATATAAGGAAACAATCTTTGTCTTTTAGAATGTGAAAAAGTGCATTTGAAGCTTATTTGAATTTCTTCACGGCAGCGTAAAAGAGACTTATTTTTGGAGTACTATGAAGGCCCAAACCAGAAATTACTGGCAACCGTCACGTTCCCACAATCTGAACCAGGTATTCTCCGGACTGTTTTACAATACAACCAACTAAACATAAACGGATAAAACGAAGCGTCCAGGAGGAGCATGGAAGGCACACCGGCCCTGTTGTTGGCTTTATAAACTGGGACCCTAACCCCAATAATCCAGGGGACAGAGTAAGAGGTCGGCCGGGGCCTGGAAGACTAAACCGTCCAGCCCGAGGTCAAAGGAGAAAAACCCAGCAGGCTGCAGGGCGTCGGGGACGGAGCCCGTGCACCCCGGAAGCCGACCGCATCCCACTGTTTTCGGCCTGAGACAAAAGATGGAAAGCAAGGCGCCGCCGCCCCTTTGCGCCCAACCCAGCGAGCCAGCCTTTGGGTCTGGGGTCGCGATGGCCGCGCGGGCTCCATCCACAGCACCCTGCGGCCCGCGGGGGCTCCGGCTCCCGGCCTGCCTCCCTGCACACAGGGCGCCGCCCGCCGCGAGGGAAGATGGCGGCCGCCGAGCAACTGCGCCACCAGCCCTGGCCGCAGGCCAGGCCCAGCGCCATCTTAGCGCCCTCCGCCCGCCGCCCCCACCCTGAGAAGCCACTGTCGGGGCGACTCGGGAAGGGGGGGGGAGCGCGAAGCCCTCTCGGCTAAAAAAGTTAAAAATAAGACCAAAGACAAGAACAAAAAAAAATTAAGCAAAAAGCCACTCTCAAAAGCCACCGTCCGCCTCGGTCCTTCGTCTCCCGGCTCGCCGGCTGACACCGGCCTCAAGCGGCCCCGCACGGCCGAGCGAGCGCGGAGGGGAGGCTCGTCCAGGCTCGGGGCCGCGGGTCCCCGGCAATGCCTCGCCGGCCGCCGGCGACCGAGTGCGGGCTGGCGCCGCGGCCCAGGCCGGGGATGAGGCCCAGGAGGCCGAGCGGCCCGCGCTGTCCCGGGCCCGGCCTCGACCCCGGCCTCTCCCTCGCGCAGATGCCGTGGAAGGGAGGGAGCCACCCGGCTGAAAATGTAGCTCCTGGCCGTCCCCGGCGTCCCTGGCGCCTCCCTCCCCGCGCTTCGGCCGACGCCGGCCCCATTTTGCTGAGAAGCAAGAAAAGGCGATTCACACCCAAGAGCTTCCGAGGAAGGGAGTGGGAGAGAAGGGACCGCAGGGGTGTATGAAGAAGCGAGGGGAGGAGATTGGGAAAGCAGATTTTTCTTGCTCGGCCGCCGTCACGCCAGGCCCTCCCTCGCCCCCTGCTCGCGGCCCCGCCGAGCCCCGCTCCCTCCTCCGCGGCTCCCGGGCGGCTCCGGGGGGCGGAATACACACACTCGCACACACTCGGCGCACACAACTAATTTGAAAGCGGCTCAATCAATGAGTCATTAAAAGGCTTCCCTCCCCTCCCCACCGCCAACCGCCACGCCGCCACCTCCCCTCCTTTTTTATCCCACCCCCCCCTTCCTGAGCTCTCCCACTCCCCGCTCCAGAAATTTGCATCCGCGGATAGGAAAAAAAAAAGGAAGAAAAAGGAAGGGGGAAAAAAAAGGCAGGCGCCAGGCCCCCCACGCGGCCGCGGCGCCCCCCGGCCCGGCGCCGCCGCCCCCGGTCCACCCGCGCCCCCGCCCGAGACACTGAACTTGGTCTTCCCAGGGCCCCGGCGGCGCTGGGAGAGGCATCCACACTAGATTCCCCTTTTCTCCGTGTCCATTAAACATCCACCCACCACCACCATCACCCACCCACAAACCCACCCCCCCCCCAAAAAAAAAACACAGCCTTAGCCAATAGCTCTCTGGGCTGAAACCTAATATCCTGGTTTTGGCAACTCGGTGTTTAATTTGCTCCTCTTTCTTTTCTGTCTGGCTGGAGATCTATCTCCAGCTCCCCCCCCCCTTCTCCTTCTTCCCTCGCTTCTCCCCTCCCCGAAGGAAAAAAGAGGCAGAGGAAGGAGGTTGTGTTTTTTTTTTCTCCTTGAAATTTTTATCACAAAATTATAATACACTCAAAGGGAAACTCACCGTCATGAAAAAGCAGTGCCTTGTCAACGGGGTTTCTGCGCCATCGCACCAGGGGCGGCGGCGGCGGGCGCGGGGCGCGGGGCGCGGGCGCGGGAGCTCCAGGCCGAGCGGCGCCGGCCACACGCGCTCCGCTCTCTCTCTCGCTCACCCCCGCGCCGGGCGGCGGGCGCCCGCTCCCCGCGCCCGCCCGGCCTTCATGCTCTGCGCCCGGGCAAACGGCTCGCCTGCTCGTCTACCTCAAACTTCGGTTCTTGCCTAGTGAAGAAAAAAAAAAAAAGCGAAGATGAGGATTTCTTTAATTAAAAATTTTAATTTTTTTTCAAAAACAACAAAACCAAACCAAAAAACACAAGCTCCCAGCCTGGTGATTTCTGTTTCATTTTGATTTTTTGGGGGGTATTGAAATGTATTGGGGGTCTATTTAAGAAACATTTATTTATGTACCCGCCCTCCTCCCCCATCTACAAGATGTGAGCTGATTCTCCTCAGGGGCCCTGTACACACAAAACACACACACACACGTTTTAGCTTAACTTGGAGGGGAGGGTAAGGAAAAAATAAAAATTGGTTTAGAACTTCAGTTAGTGCCAGTCACAGTTTAAAAAAAAAATGCATATTTTTAAAAACTAAAGCCTCCCTTAGTTACTTGGCAGATAACTGGGTTAGCCTTAAGTTTCTCATGTACTACTAACTTTATAATACCCCTTTCCACTCTGCAATGCTGTGAAATCTTATCTGTGAAACCCTAAGATTAAAAGGAAAACAAAACTAGGGCCTATGGAGAGAAGCTGAGTGCCCCCTCCGCCCGCTTTATTTATGTGGCTGGCTTTTATCTCCATGTTTGGGAAGTCTGCATTAAGTAACTCCCATTCTTAAAAAGGAAGCTAAGAACCCTTTAGCACCCCTTGGCCCAACCATAATTACCACCTGTTTTAAATTTCAAATTGTTGAGACTTCTTAAACCACCTAGTAGTAAGAAAAGCATTTAAATAACCGTTCCATAAGAGTTCTTTGTAGCCCTAATTACCAATACCCACAAAATATAGCGGTGTGTGGGGGGGTGTCACTTGTTTTAAATATCAGAAATAGGTGAGATAGGAATTCTACGTGAATGTAATTCAAGCTTAAAGATACAGATTTAAGCCTACAAAGTCTTCTAAGGATATCTGAAGTTGGTGAGGTCTTGCTGATAAATACGTGAGTTCTAAATAAAATTATCCCCAGATTTAAATTCTTTAAAATATTGTCTGTTTTCTATATCCTTTAGTGCAAAACACAGTTAACCTTAATGGCAGAATTGGGGCCTGTGAATGGTAAAGCAAGAACATGTTCTACGAATGTGTGACCCTATGTTTGACCCTAACACACACACGCGCGCGCGCGCGCGCACACACACACACACACACACACCTTGCTTACTTATATAAGCATGTAATTAAACTACACTTCACAAAATAAATGTGTCAGCTGCCATATTCACCATCTTTTTCAAAAGCAAGTCACCCCATGTGTCAGCAATCGCCACTCGACCGCTCTATATAATGTGTCTTTGTATTGAGACCTGACTGGAAGACACACTCAGTAGTGTCACACAGTAGCTATCACTGGGCTGGGTTTTTCTTAGAAGCCTTTTATTTATTTATCTGCTTTATATTCAGCCAAGGCCCTCCTGGACCAGGAGTCCTTGCATAAATTAGCATATTTCTCTATACTTGCCGGTTGGGCCAACCAGTTTTCTAATTGGCTTGGGAAAATTTTAACATGTTTTAAAGTGCCTGTGGATTGGTGGGAATTTAATTAGAACACCCATTTGGAAGAGAAGCATTTCCGAAGACTCCATGGATGATGCACTGCCACCAGGGCATAGCCAGCCTTGCAGCTGGTGCTCACGGCGCCAATGAAACACTAATGGATTTCAGAAAGACAGCCCTCCTCATTGGCCAAAATCCCAAGGAAATCCGAAATCTCATTTTAGATCTGACCTACCATTGCCCTGATTTGATCATTACACAATGAGTGTATAATATATAAACATATTGCACCTCATAAATTATGCATTGATTATGTAGCCTTTGAGAACAAGATTAATTTTTAAAATAGTGACCTAGGGCACCGCAGTCTTTTAGTATAAGAACTATGCAGAGCGGCTAGGGGGCTCCAGGCACTGTGGCATTTAATCACGTGGTCTATCCCAAGACCTTCCCTGGAACCTAAGGAACGATGAACCTAAGGTTTAATGACCCTGATTTTGCAGACAGGCTCTCTGGCTTTCTAAGATTTGTCTGAAGGCACTAGTCTAATAAGGGCTGACGGAAGAAGCCCTGGCTGGCGGGTTCCAGAACTTACCCTCTGTCGGGCCTGACAAGTATCTTGGGAACCTGTAGTCTTGCTGTGGCAATGACATGCATGTCACAGTCCAGAGGAGAGGCACAGGCCGAGGGGCAACCCTTTAATTGGTCAAGACCTACCCAGAGACTGCCAGTTGTCAAATCTAATTTTAAATCTGGGGGAGGGGTTTGCAAAATACTGGGACAGCAGTGGGGTGAATGCCAAGCTCCAGACAACTGAAGAAACTGAGTGCGGAGAAACAGGGGCAGCTTTTCAAGCTCTTCCCCATAGGACTTTGAAAGCAACTTGAATAAGGGGCGTGCTTTTGCAAAAAACATTTAAAACTCAGTTGTAGGGTATGGAATCTGAATGAAGATTAGGAAGCCTTTTAAGAGGACTTCATTTTTTTTTTTTCAAAAAGAACCATTTTTTTTTTTAAAATGTTTTCTTTTATGCACATGGGTGTTTGCTTGCACGTTTGCCTGCACGCACGCCTGCACCGTGGGTGTGCCTCGAGCTCGAGGAAGCCACTGGATCCTGTGGAAATGGAATTACAGATGGCTGACTGTCTCCATAAGGGTGCTGGGAACCAAACCTGGCTCCTCTGCAAGGGTAGCAGGTGCTCCTAACCTCTGAGCAGAAACCCCAGGACCTTTTGATTTCTGGGGTGTGGGGTTAGAGAAAGGGTTTCTTGAGAACCTCTGCCTGTCCTAGAACTCGCTCTGTAGCTCAGGATGGCCTTGAACTCAGAGATTCACCCACCTCTGGGATTAAAGGGGTGTGCCACCACTGCCTGGTGCTAGAACATTCTTTATTCTTTTAAAATTTATTTTATTTCGTGTGCATTGGTGTGAAGCTGTCAGAGTCCCTGGAACTGGAGTTACAGACAGTTGTGTGCTGCCATGTGGGTGCTGGGACTTGAATCTGGGTGCTCTGGAAGAGCAGCCAGTGCTCTTAACCATTGAGCCATCTCTCCAGTCCCCCTGTAGAACATTCTTAAAATGGCTTAACTATATGTTAATGATCTTGACTGTACTATCAACAACTTAGTCGTGTACACTGATTCCCTTCTGTGTAAGTGACTATAAACAAGGGAAATTGGACAGGTGTGTGTGGGGGGGTCACATAATAGCTATAACAGCTAAGAGCAAAAGGTCGGAATATAGCTCAACCTAATATAAACCCTATCACTAGAAGAAAAAAACAGTGAACCATTGCCTAGCTGGCTTTTCTTAGAAGAGATACAGGCCAGAGAGATGGCTCAGTTGGTAGCTGGGCTATCCACCAGGTCTCAGGACCTAAGTTAGTTTCTGGGGCCCACATGATGGAAGGAAAAAACCAGAAATGCCTCTGACCCCATGACATGTTAACACACACACACACACACACACACACACACACACACACACATCAAATAAAGCATAGTTAAGAAAAGAAGATGCAAATGGTGGAGCTATGTAGCACTGTGCATGTGAGTATGATGGCCAGATGTGCCCACTGCAGGGTACAGGGGCACCACCAAGAAAGGCAGCGAGTGTGCAAGAACCATTCTAAATTCTCAGACTGGCAGATGGCTCCAGGGCAAAGGCTTCTGCCACCAAGCCTGATGACATGACTTCTCATGGTGAAGGAGAAAACTGACTCCCACAAATTGTCGTCTGGCCTTCACAAGTGTGCCCCAGCATGTGTGTGCCCAATATAAATACTTGCACACACACAAAAATAAATAAATGTAATTAAAGTAAAATTTTAGCTGGTCTGTGGTGGTGCATGCCTTTAATCCTAGCACTCTGGAGGCAGAAGCAGGTGGAGGATCTCTTGTGAGTTTGAGGCTAGCCTGGTCTACAAATTGAATTCCAGGACAGCCAGGACTATTGAAAAGGGAAATCCTGTCTTGAAAAAACAAAATAATAATAATAAAAAAAACTTTAATTTAACTTCTCAATATGTATCAATAAGGTTCATATCCTTATTCATAAATATTTGAGAGCTCTGTCATTAGTCAGTCCGAGTGGGCTCAGATCCACCTTTATGGCTCATAGGGGGAGGCACTTGGCGGATCATCCTCCCTTCAGAGCTCAACTCCCTCTTCTATAAAATGAGGCTAATAATAGCGTTCACCCCTGAGGGTTATTTTAGGGCGTGAGGAACTAGTGCATGAAGGATGTTTTAGCAGGGCACTAGGAACCAGATAAGCCTGTACAACTCTTCCTGTGTGAGCAGCCAGGGACAGTCTTCTATTGCCTATGGTGTGATTCGAGTCTACCTTATTTGTTTGAGACAGGATCTCATTATGTATCCCTGGCTGACCTGGAACTCTCTATGAAGACTAGGCTGGCCTCACAAGATCTGTCTGCCTCTGCCTCCTGAGTGCTAGGATTAAACATATGGGTCACTGTGCGGGCCACTGTTACTTTTTATACATGTGACTTTTGGGGGTGGTGCTGAAATAGGATCTATGTAGCCCTGGTTAGCATAGAACTCGCTATATAGACTAGGCGAACCAGGAACTCAGAGATCTGCCTCTCTGTGCCTCCAGAGTGCTGGCGCCACCTCATTCTACCTTTCCCCCCCCTTTTCCACATCTTGGTGCATATGTGTTTGTGGGTGTGTGCACAGGCACGTGACACGCGTTAGGCTTGGCAGCAAGTGCTTTATCTACCTGCTGAGCCGGCTCACTGACCCCTTGGCCAGCCTTTTAAATGTTTCTCAGTTTCCTGCCTGTAAAAAACGAGCTAAACAAAACATGTCTCTGAGGTTGCTATGTGAGTTAAAGGATATTTGTAATATAAAATCCTTGCTTCCGTGCGTGGTGAATAACAGGTACTCCACAATAGTCGCCATTTTTCTCGGGACTGCTAAAAGCAATGTGACTACGGAGAGATGGCTCGCAGTTAACCTTTGCAGTTCTGAGGGAGAACCAAGGA